TTAACCCTTTCAGGAGACCGGAGATTGCTTGTCTTGTTAATGGCAGAGCCCTCACCCCCAGAATGCAACGGGGGCCACAACTTTGAAAAGATGTTCAAGGATTACTATTTGAAATAATGAAAGAATAAATCCAAAACATAGAGTTCCTAGCATAGCGTGTAGCAAAAATGATGGTGACTATCATCGCCTTCACCACAGTCACGCTTCCATCACACACGGGGCCATAGTTCCCTCCTAGAAAACCAACTGAAAAGTCAGATTCTAGCCACAGGGGAGTACAGTAGAGTGACAGCCCGGGTGTCTGATGGGATGCTTCTATCACCTCTCCACACCCACTTCAGGTTCTAGTGATGTTAACCTGTCTGCCCGTGACGATCCCTGGTTCTCACTCGTACACCTCTTTGTTCGTGTCCATCCCAAAGAAAAGTCTATTTGAAATAATGAAAGAATAAATCCAAAAACATAGAGTTCCTAACATAGCGTGTAGCAAAAATGATGGTGACTATCATCACCCCTCTCCACCCACAGACACTTGACCTCTGACCACAAAGTCGGTGACTGTTCATCATCTCAAAAGTCTCCCTAGTAGGCTCCCATATTTCCTTGGGCAAATGGGAGGGGGGCAGATAATTCTTGATATAGGTGACCTCTGATCCCCATGGCATTCAGGAATTCTCCAGGGTGTTGAGGAGTTGACCAGAGAGTCCTGCCATAGAGTCCTGCATACATTCCTCAAAGGCATGTGTCACTGGCTTCAGGAATCATCACGGCTCACATCTGTATGTTATCTCCCTTCAGAGGAGCACATAGTCTTTGAGCAAAGAGGTCATGTAGCAATAATTTACCCTGTAAGGTCTGAAATAGAAACTCAGTAAGTGCAATAAGTGTTGAAAACCACACACATGGAAAAAGGGGGGGGGGGGTGTATCTTAGCATTTCCGGGCAGAACTGCCCATTTTTCTTCCATTAGGAAACGAGATTTGTCCTATTTATTGAAGACATTCCTTCTGACCCTTGAGAGATTCCAGAGGCTAATAACCTTTAGAGGCAAGAGTATCATTTTTCCTTGTCTAACCTAAATTTCTCTAGATGCAACTTCAGGGCATTTTTCTGTAATCCCTCCTCCCCGGCCACTGGGACTAAAACCTACTTCTTTGCAAAGAGACAGTTACTAATTCACTCTTTTAGCCTTTCTTCAACAAATTTAATCCCAGGCCCTCTATTGTCTCCTTCCCTAGGGTCCTATTTCTAGCCCTCTCCCTGTTCCACTGCTCCTTGGGCCCTTTGCCAAGTTCTCAAAGAGCAAAAGGGGCAGGAATGGTGCCTATTGTTCTCCCTGGTGGACAAACACACAGACGCCTACGCACGCACGCACACACGCAGGACCAACACCTCTGTCCACCCGTTACCCTCCACCCCCTGGGCAGACAGACACTCACAGGCGGTCTCTTCACATAGATTCATCTCTCCCACCTGGGGTCCCTGAGCCTTGGTCTAGCCGTCCTCACACACCTGAGTACACACACTCACACAGGGACAGCACCGACCTTCGATTTTTCTCACCCGCAAGCCAAACTGGGTGGAGCTTCTGAAACCCTCCTCCTCCTCCTCCCTGCCCTTCTCTAATCCTCCCTTCTATTGGCCACCAAGGGCCACGCCTACTTTTTCTACACCTCCACAGTGATTTTCTGCTTCATGGATGAAGGCAAAGTAAATTGAAGGAAAGTTAACTCTGCCCTCTTCTTCCGGTGTGCCTCCCACTCCCCATCCCCCCATCTCAAGTCATCACTCTGCCTTCCATTTGCACACATAGACTACCCTCCATCCACTTTGCAGCTTCTCTGGCAGTAGGGGGTGAAGCTTCTTGGGGGCTTGCTTTGTGAAAATTAGCGCAGGGGAAGTAATGGGAGCTGACAATTGAGCTTGGTTCCATCTCGGATCTGATGGGAGGCAGAGTGGCTGTGCCCCTGGGCTGGTTGGGCACTATCTCACTAGGCAAGGGGATTTGAGAGCAAGCAGGAGGTATGACAGTCATTTGTTTATTCAGCCAACAAATATTTATCCAGCACCTGTGGCACCACTCTGCATCAACAAAACCAATAAAAACCCTGCCTCTGCGCAGTGTGGATTCTATGGGTGGAGGCTGGAAATGAGTAAGTTAAACATATTGGCTCTCCGACCATCATAAATGGCAGCAGGAAAGGAGAAGGGGTGCAGGCTGAGGCGGTGTGCAATTTTAAGTAGGGTGCTCAGGAATGGCACTATTTGAAGAAAGCTTTGAGGAGATAAAAGGGCAAACCGTGCAGAGACCTCCAAGGAGGTTGTTTTAGGTAGCTGGACTCTCCCTGCAGTATCAGTTACAAAATACATACAGAAAGCCACAAAGGACGGGTGCTAGGAGATGACAGGCAAAGAGGACATTGTACAGAGGAGCTGTTTCTCCTGGCATCAGGGTTGGGACCCATTCTGGACTCCAGGGCTTGAAAGGGTGCCAGGAAAAACTAGAAGAGCCAAATCAGGAGTGAAACTGGCCTCAGCGGGGGCCAAAAGCTAAAAAGCAAACAGAAAATGATACAAGAGCTTAAGATGCTAGTCCCAAAAGGGTTTTGTCTTAGTTTGCTATCTGTTGCTGTAATAAAGACACCAGGACCAAAGCATCTTGGTGAGAAAAGGATTTATTTGTTTCACATGTCCATAGTCGCGGTCCATTGGGAGGAGTCAAGACAGGAACTCCAGGCAGGCACCTGGAGGCAGGAACTGAAGCAGAGGCCATAGGGGAACACTGCTTACTGGCTTGCTGTTCATGGTTTGGTCAGTCTGCTTTCTGTTATCACCCAGGACCACTTTCCCACTGTGGGCTGCCCCCCACCCCAACATCAATCACTAATCAAGAAATGCCCCCACAGACTCGCCTGCAGGCCAGTCTGATGGAGGCATTTTCTCACTGACATTTCTTTTCCCAGATAACTCATTTGTGTCAAGTTCTCTCTTTCTCTCTCTCTCTCTCTCTCTCTCTCTCTCTCTCTCTCTCTCTCTCTCTCTCTCTCACACACACACACACACACACACACACACACACACACACACACACACACACAAATCCAACCTAACCAGGACGGAGTTGAATGTCTACTGATATGAAGAGATACTGAGATTCCTCTCCAAGCTTGGCAATTGGAGATCATAACCAGAAGAAAAATGAGCATCTCTTGGACCCCACTGCCTTGGAAATGTTACTCTAGAGAGTGAGATAGGGCCAGCTGAAGCTTCTTTGATCATACTCAGCAGTACTGTGGTGATGGGCTGTAGCACCAATGGGCATCAGCAATCTTCCAGTCCACTGTGCACACAAAGCCTACCTTTGATCCCATATTCCTTCATTTCTTAGGCCTTTACAAGCATTCACCACACAAGTCCTTTCCATTCTGGGCTTATACAATCTTCACAGGAGCCTCAGGAAAAAATCATCCTCTCTGGTTTACAGAATGAGGAACAGCATCCCATTACCCCATTTTACATTTATTCCCCAGTCCCTCCACACCCCTATTTGTGGCTGAGCCCCTAACAGCACAGGCTGAACTACATCTTCAGCCAGGTTGACTTAGGGCTCAAATACTTGCTCCTTCATGTGACTGCTAGGTGGCCTGGGCTAAGCTTCTTTCCCTTTGTGAGACCCAGGGGGTAGAATGGGGGCAATAACAAGGTAATATCCACCTCCTGGACTTCTATAAGTATCTTCTGGGACCCGACAGTGTTAGTGCTGAGGCATATCATGTCCCAGAAAACTGCAGTGTGTTGACAACAGTTTGTAGCTCTAAAGAGTTAAATCAGGGAAGGATGTTTTTAAAAAAGAAAATCAGTGAATTCAGTATTTTCTCTGCAATGACATCACTCTCACAGGCTGGTAGTCCATAAAGACTCTCTGAAGGAGAGATAAAGGAGTGGCGGCTAACCCCCTGGAGATTTACACAGAGGCTGCAGCCTATCTTATCTGTGCCACATCCCTGAGAGTGCAGCAGGCAAGAAAATGCTATCTCTTCCATAGTGAGGTGTCAGGATAAGGCTGAAAGCTGCCGGCTATAAACTAGGGCATGGTGTCTGGCACACAGTAGGTGTTTCTAGGAAGAGACAGCCACAGTGAGGCAGGGAAGGAGCGGGAGACAAAAGCTCTTTGGTTACAAACCGCTGTATTAGCTGAGTCTCAGGCACAATGCTGTGGCTTTCTGCTCTGCAAGAGATGGGTAGTATCAAAGCAGGAAAAGAGAGAGGGACATGGGAGACCACGGCCCTGAGACTGGCTAGTGAGGGTGGGCAGGGGTCAGGCGGTAGCTGACCTAGAGTCCCTCAGGTTCCCCATGGGAAGACACGGAGTCAGCATAGGAAGCCTTGAAAGGATGAGAGGCCTACAGGCTGTGAGCATTCATTCCGGGGTTGGGCTGGGGACAGAGTGACCCCAAGATGATTCTTATCCAAGGCCAAAATCTAGAGGAAAGCTGCCTCGAGGCTGTCCCTGGAATGCAGCTCACAGGTGCTTGGGGTCAGTGGATAAGGCATCTCCACAGCCGCTAACTCATTCCTGCTCATTTCCCAGCCACTGTGACCCCCACCCCTACCTTCAGCCCCCCACGCTGGAATAGCCTACTCCAACATGGGCCATCTTGCCCCCTGTCTGCCTCAAGGGCTTCCTGTTTGGTTAGGCCTGTACTTGTCAAGACTCAGCCAGGAGCAGCAGGTCACCTGCCCAATTCACTGAGGAATAAAGTTCTTCCATCCTACACATGCAGCTCACATAAACTGCATTAAGGCTCCTACCCCAAGTGAGGTCCTGTCCCTTCTTTATCCCAACCCGTCCTCCCCTAAACCAAACGACAGAGAGGGATGGGGACGGAAACAAAGACAGGGCTCAGCCCTGCAACCTTTCAACTCCCCCCCCCCCTTGCCTGGTATGATTCCCTCCCCCAAAGTGGGCACAGTGGCCCCAGACACAGCCTGACTCCATCCAAAAAAGAATGAGGTTCTTTATTGAAAATCAGCCAACTCGTGTTCCTCAAGCCCCAGACCATGGTGGGCAGTTCTTCCACCTCTGTCTCGGCTGCTCCACCCACCCCTTAGCCACAGTGAGAGGAATGGAAAATAAGAAGAAGCCGAAAGGGCCTCTATATGGGAAAGCTGCCCAGATGTGTGCTAAGTACAGCCCAGCTGTGGCTGGAGTGACAGCCGCAGGCTCCTCCCTATAAATTAAATCCCTGCCGCCGCAGCTGTAGGGGAGGCATACTTTTAGAAGGAAGGTCAGTGCGGCACAGGGCCACAGGGCAGCATCTCTGACTCCGGGCCAAGGAATGGACTGAAAGTACAGAGGTCAGGGAGAGAGAGGCACACTGGCGGAAGGAGGCTTTGGTCCCAGGGGAAAAGTCGGTCCAGTTTTGACGGCTGTGGGGAAGGAATGTATTAGTAAGCCCAGAAAGAAAGAGGCAATCATCGGGCACTGCCAGAGGTGACCAGATAGGCTGGACCCTACCCTGGCAGAGGGGGGATTAGAGATCCAGGGGCTCTCGGGGAATGTCACTGCTAAAACTTATATATACATATATATTAACCATTCGTGGAGGGCAGGGGCAGGGGGGATGTCTGATCAGAGGATCTGGCGTGGCATCCCATAGCCGGTCATGCCTGCCTGAGATGCTCCGCGGTTGGTGCCCATCTGAAGCCCAATCACATTCTTGCCCTCTTGCAACTGGTTGTCCGAGAAGTTCCGAGGGTTCTCCTTGGACTTCCTGGGTAGAAAGGAAGTACTAGTTAGGAGGCAGAGTCAGAGACCAGCTACCCCAGCAAGTTCTTCTCCGAACATGTAAGCTGATATGCACTCTGCCTTTAAGACCTCTGGGCTGTCTAGAAGCATCTCTTTGTTTCTCCAAAAGCATCTCATTGCCGCCGCCGCCACCACACCTCCTCCCACCTTCCGGAGTTCTAAAGGTGCTTTGTACGTAAGGACTGGTTCTATGGCGACATCATTTATTTTCTGCAGACAGGAATGGGCAAGAATACTGTACCAGCAGGGTCCCGTGGCTATCCCACAGATACTTACTTAGGAAACCAGTTGGGATCCCCACAGAACAGCCCATCATCTCTGGCTACTGCCAGCCCACCCAGGTTCATTAGCGTCCGCTGCACACAAGCCATGTTCTTTCCTGGAAGAAAACGATTACGTTGCCTGAGCGGAAGTAGGGGTACCGGATGCCAAGATTCCACCTGTCTATGAGCTTGGCATCTAAACTCTTTAATTCATTGTTCCCACCCTAACCTGCAGTATGGCCCATCCTCCATCTCACACACGCACGCACACACACACACACACACACACACACACACACACACACACACACACTGGTCCTTAGGAAACCCACCACTTATCCTTTTTTCTTTGGTAAAGATGGCCCATTCTAACCCCTGGTCTCCTGGGTAACAGCCCTGGGTCCTGGCCCACCTTCCCAGAGATCCACAGTTTGAAAGATGTCAGTGGTGTTAATGCCGTAGCGCTCAGCGGCCTGCAGGAACTGAGAGATCTGCTCCATCTGCTTAAAGGCCATAGTAGAGGCCTGAATCTTCTTTACTGGGGCCTGCCCCTCAGGGTATAGTGAATTAATGAGCTCACACAGCACCTGGAAGAGATGAGAGGACATGCCGATTGAAGATCAGAGGACCAAAGACAGTGAACCAGAGAGGTGCCTTCCCATGGTGAGCCTCAAGGTCCTCTCCTGCCTCTGAACCCAGAGGAAGAGCAAGTGTTTAGTCTTTCCTTGCTCCTCCAGAATCACTGCCCGGAGTTTACCTTCTCACCCTCTTTCCAAACAGCTGTTATACCGGCACCTATGAGCATCTGTTGCAAGAGGGACATCCACCTTGACCTTTACTCTGGAGAGCTAGGAAAGCACGGGGGCTCTAACAGCCTCCAGGGAGATACTCAGGATGACGACACACTTGGGTCTGTACGCTCCCTTTCTCCCCTTCTTTGGGGCAAACCGTCTCTGATGCCCCGCCATCAGCCCCGTTCTCCCTGCGCCTCCCGCTCAGCTCTCACCGTGCCGTCCTTGAGCCAGTTCTGGAAGTTCTCACGCCCGGGCTGGGGCCGGCCCACATCCTTGCGGCACTGAGTCGTAATCCACTGGATCAGGATCTGCTCCAGATCCGCATCGTATTGCTTCTCGATCTTCTGCTGCACCTCTCGGCTCAGGCCGTATGAAGGTCCCCGGTTGGCCATTCTGACAGCTGTGGTGACGGTGAAGAGCTGTGGAGAGGATGTAACCAGGCCCACGGTCAACATTTTATAATACACGGGGCGCCCGTGAGGGCCAGAGAGGGGGGACTCCTGCCCAGGAGCTAGCACAGCAGGGCTCTGAAGTCTGGCCGGTATGAGGCTACACAGATACTAAACTTCACTTGAAGGAACAGTTCTACTTCTAGAATGAAGCCTAGGGCCCGCTGGAATAGAGGATAGGGTCAATGCTTCGGTTCAGCTCTTCATTGGGAGTATGAAACTTGACAAAGGTAAATGAGTCAGTCTAGCCTCCAGCCCTGCTCTTTAGAGCCTGAGGAAACAGGAATACAGAGCACATGGGAGAGCTGGTCAAGAGTGGGAGTGAGTGGAACTACCTTCCACTAACCGCTAGGTTTTTAACTGAGCATCTACTATCTGTAGTAGGGATTGTAGAAGAGAATGAAGCCCTTGGTCCTGAACGACTCATAGTGCCATCAAAGGGGACACAGGGAGGGAAGGTGACGGCGTAAACCATGTACACAATTGAATACTAAGCTGCACAGTTCAGATCGCGTGACAGGGACTAATCAGCTCAGAGAGACAGACGCAGTCTGGGTGGGCTTGCTGGACAAGGTAGGCCCACAGCTGAGCAGGCAAAGGGAGTTTCCTGTGAGAAACCTAGCAGTTAAAAAAAAAAAAAATTCTTTCCCTTCTCTCCTAGGCATCGTGGTAGACAGACTAACCCCCTCCTCTCACCACCGAAGGTGTCCATATACTAATTCCCAGAACTGGGAGATATATCACCTTACATGGTTAAAAAAAAAAAGTGTGAAGGAGGTGGGGGGGGGGAGCGTTTGGAGATGGAGTGATCACCAAGTATCAGCCAGGTGGGCCCAGGATCGTCGAAAGAGTTCTCATTCTCAGTCAGTGAAAAAGGCAGGCAGAATGAGAGGGGCGAAGGAAGAGTGTGGATCATGCAGGGTCATGAACCAAACAAAGCCCCTAGAAGCCAGAGAAGAAAAGGAAATGGACTCTCCCCTAGCTCCCCAGCCCCAGTGAACGCAGCCCCACCAGCACCTGGACCTCTGCCAGTGAGACTCTCTCCCCCTGAGCCCCCCCCCCCCCCCCCCCCCCGCCGCCCCCAGGGTCTCTAGAACCATCAGAGCGGCTGTGTGTCACTAGGTTTATAGTTTGTTACAGCAGAAAGGGGAAATTAATCCAGAGCCTTGGGCCTTATGTTCAGGGGAACCTGGAGAGCGAAAGAACAGTACACACAGCTGGGTTTAACTTTCCTTGAGGACCTTGGTTAGGAAGAACCGGTAGCTTCTGACCACAGGCCTGAGTTGGCAGCATTTCACTGCGGGCAGCCTGCCCCACCCACCACTTTACTGACAGGTTCCCCACCCAGGAACCTGGGGAGTAAGTCCTGGAGATGCTGCAGATGCGCAGGGGAGCCAGGAACAGAGGAGGGGCCCTGTCCCTCACTCGCTACTCCAGCCCCTGCTTAGGGGGTCCTCCTCTCTAGTTGGAAATAGAGCTGGCTGTCTCTGACATTTCAAAAACTGGTATCCCCAGGACAAGAGCCTCCATTCAGAGGGAAGCAGGGAGCCCACATCTGGCTGCAAGCCAGGTCAGACTTAAGGGATGAAGTCATTCTGGTTCCTTCTCTCATGCACCCCAGGTTAAACACTCCCACCACCCCCACAATGGGCTCTGGTGCTGTGCCAAAATACAAGAAGCCAGGCTGTCTCCAATAATGTCCTAAGTCTGGGCAGAGGTTGTGTGCTGGGTCAGGCCCCTCCCCCACCCTTCAACATGGCTGCCCCTTCCTACCCTGGGTTATCCAGCTGCCACATTTCCGGCAGGAACCCCCCCCCCCCCTATAAATCAGCTATTTTTAAACTTCATTAGGAGACCTCCCCCCAGCCAGACCAGATAAATGTCAGGCTGTGTCCCGACCCACATCACATCGCAGGCCACACACACACACACCCCATCGGCTTGATGAAGGCAGGTGGAGGAGTGGTGGAGTGGCTGAGGCCTGGGCAGAAACGGGGGCAGCATCCTCGCCCTCTCTAGTCCAGCTGCAGCTACTCAGCTCCCAGCCTATACAAGCCTGGTGTTGTAACTAGAAGACAGGCTGGGAAAAGGAGGGGGCCAAAGGCTCCTATCCTCTCCCTGCCCAATTTCTGGACCTCTCTTCTGGAAACAGCTTTATGCTTGTCACTTGGGGCTGTTCCCAAGGAGCCGATGGGCCTGAAGCCCGGGCACAAGTAAAGAAAGGGCAAGGGAGTGATTAACCCATATATACCAGGGTTAAGAAGGAGTCCAAAGACAGACCCTTCCAGTGTCCCCCTGCCCCAGACCTACCTCCGGACAGGTGAATACTGAGGGTTCCTCCCCTGGCTCTGAAGCCCGCACACAGCTGGCGAGGTTGTCAGCCTCCAGCTGCAGTGTCTCTGTGCCACTCTGAGGCCACGACCCCGGAACCCCAAAGTGGCAGAGCCACGGGGCGGAGTTCTCAGACCAGGCTCTCCCAGCCAGGCCCGGCTGGCTGGCCGGCCGGCAGCTGTGTCTCTCCCTACCCCCTCAGGCAGGCAGCTGATGGGTTGTGGCTGCTGCAGCTGGAGAGACCCACCCTAGTTACACCCAGGAGACCTACCCCGGCCCTCCCTCAGAGAAAGAGAAAATAGCAAGTCTCCTTCTGGGGTGGGCTAAAGACATCTGTCCAGCTGGAACACAGGTGTGGGAGATGCCCAAGAACTGGGTATCCCAAGGGACGACAACAGCTGGGCAGGCCTACAGGGTGGGCTGGCAGTGGTGAACTCCAGAGCCGACTGCAGCCCTGGGAACAATCCTCACGCAGGCCTACAAGGTTACAATAACTGGGAGAGGAGGAGGTGCCACAAAAGGCCTTCCAACCCTGTGCTCCACCCAAACCGCGGGCAGCTTACCTCACCCCATTCGGCGTCAATGCTGAAGGCAAGGGGAACACCGAGTTGGGAAGGGTCGGACTTTAGAATTCTTGACTGAGTATTTACTGGGAAGACGAGGGGACTCTCCTCTCATCGCGCAGAGGGAACATGGGGAACTTCCCAACTCACACGTGAGTTGAGACTGTTCAGAAACAGAAATGCCACATGGGTAGGCAGAAGGCCCGTGGTAGCACGGTGGTTAAGGGGATGCCTTAGAGAAGACCCTCCTCCCCCCACCAGGGGGCAGCCCCCTCACCACCTAGAGTCCGGAGCACAAGAGAAAGCTCCACAAACAGGAAGCCGCAAGGCCTGCTCAGGAGGAGAGGAGGGGGTGGAGGCCGTTGCCATGACTTCTGTGTACCAAACATAAGGATGGAGGCAGGGTGGGGGCCCCCCAGGCAGGAACACCCACTCCACACAGACTTGGGTGGAGGCTCTAGGCAAAGGGGCATGCGGGATCCTAACAGTTCTCCGGGTATAGCCAGACCCGAAGAAGCTGCTTCGGAGGACCTGGAAGGCATATGCAGTTTGTGAGTAGAGAAGCAGAATCAAAGTCTAGAAGACACATCCTGGGTAGGAAAGACGTTTCTGAGCTAGAAAGCCCACACCTGGCAATCTTGAAGGGCAAGGCGATGGTGTGAAGACAGACTAGCGGCCAATCCCCGGGGGGCTGTCATAGACAGTAAAGGCATGGGTGCGCAAGGGGATTGCAAGGACAAAGACTATTTGCTGGCTCTGGAACGACAGCACCCTGCTCACCCGTCCCAACCTTGCCCCGCAGTCTGAGGTGCACCCTGAACTGCAGGAAGGAGAAAGTGGGAGGAGCTTGGAGATGAGGGGCTGTCCCTGACTACTGCTCTGAATTGGAGGGCAAGGGGAGCCCGTCCAGCCACAGGTCTCCCACACTGCACCTCCACTTCCCATCGCCGCTGCTTCTGCGCCGCTGATACCAAGTGTCCCAGTACCTCTCTGGTATGAACATAGGGAGGTCTGCAGAGTCCAGCAAGGAGGCAATCTACTTCCGGTCTGCAGGTCCGGCCCCTTCAGCCGCCGCCCCCACCCCCACGGCCACACCCTGGGCCGTTACTGCGGATGAGTCACCCACCGCCCTCCCGCCACTGGGGTGACGCAGGTCTGGGCAGCCCGCCCGCCCGCCCGCGGCCACCACCAGCTTTCCCAGCAGCAGGGGGCACGGGAGGGGGCAGCGGGGGTTCAGGCTAGGGTAGGAGAGCTTGGACAGCAGCCAACCCCTCCAGACAGGACACATCCGAGTGCAGTCAGGGCTGCAGCCCCGAGATGTCCGAGGTCAAAGGCACTCCAGGAGAGGGATAGGGTTTCACAGAAGACCAGGCCACGGTGCAAGTACCGCACCGAGACCCGTGACCCCCAGGTAGTGAACCCGAGTACCCAGAAAAGCAAACTAGCAGGAGAGGGAGCAAAAGGGCGGTCTCCAGGGCCCAGAAGGCAGGTAGTGCCCACACGTGCTCCTGGACCAGGAAGTGAAAGGGTCGCATGGTAAATTCAGGGATTGCAGACGCGCACCAGGGCGCGCGCCAGAATCCCATTCTCGCCGCCACTCAACGCCAGCCTGAGAACGTCGGACTCCCTCCTTCCTTCTCCCCCAAGAACTCGACGCTGGAGCGGACTGCTGGGGCTTGGGACTTTTTTTTGGGGGGGGGGACTTTGGGTCGGGACGGACGCCCCGTCTATGCACCCGCAAAGCTCGCCTTACTTAATTGCCCAACAATGCAGAGTCAAGGCTTGGGAACCGGACCTGACAGCACGGGGCGGAGCACCCCGTTAGGACCCTGGCGGCGGCCAGTCTACAACCCCCACGCTCCCTGGAGCTCCACTCAAGTGTTGGCTTCTAGCTCTCTACAGACCACACACATACCCCCACCCCACCCCACCCCTTCCCCTCTCCCCTGGTCCCTCAGTCCTGCTCACCGTCCAAGCGGGCTGGGTAAGTGCACACGCACGCACGTCAGGGGCTGCAGTGGCGAGTGGAGCTCAAGACCCGGCCGGGCTTAGAGTTTTCTGGAGGGTCCCGCCTCAGACGGGGCGGACCAGGGGCGGGGCAAGGGCCGAGAAGGTTTAAAGGCGCAGCCTGGTGGAATGCTGGAGTGCTTAAGATAGGTGGTCCGTGGGCAGGAATGGGGGTTACAGGACCTAATGAGTCAGCCCTGGGTGCCGCTGCAAAGGTCTCCATCCATGAGAACTCAGCCTCCACTCAACAGCCATAGACTTGTAATCCAGTAGGAAACTTTCTACCTAGGTTAGCTCGCGATTGCAGGCTTAAAAACTGGCGAGGTAAATGGAGGTACAGGAAGAGCCTTCCCCCAGGATTGAGTAGGGTGTGACAGCACGGGGGGCCTGCAGGCTGGGACAGCACCCCCACGTGGTTCTGCTCGCCATTTAACTTCAAGCCTGGGCAAAAACTAACAGTGAGGTCACTCCTTGCCCAGGGCCCAAGGGGTGTGGTCGGGCTTGGGACCTGGAGTTCAGACCTGGCTTCTCTCTCCTTGCCTTCCATCTCCTGTTTAATTACCTGACATTTCTCCTTAAATCTTGGAGAGATCAGAAGGGGGAGGGCTTCGTGGAGGAAGCTGGCAGGCATTTTCCTGCCTCTTTGGGTGGAGAGCAATAGTTTAGGGGGTGTCCAGAACACCTACTACTTTTTTTTTCAGGCTTCAATTAAAGGAGTCCCCACTTAAAAACCCACCAGTCTTATTTCTTTCTTCACATTATGGGGGAGTCCCCTGTTGAGCCTGATATTTAAAAAACAACAGCAGCCGGTTCCACACTGACCTTTGCGTTTTCTATTCCACAGAGTCCCCACTCAGACCTATAGAATGTCGTTTCGGGCCCCTGCGCCTTTTCGGGTGCTCCTCCGCCCGGAAGCTTATCCCGTTCTTCACTGGCGCCTCACCTGCTCTGCCTGTTACCTGCTGTGTGGCTTTCGCTCAGTTATAAAAGGCGGCGCCTTATGCTTTAGTTGCCCAGTCTACAAAATAAACTCAAAGCTGCGGAGACTTAAACCGCACCCGGAAAGAGCGTAGAGCCGTGCTCGCTCACTCGCTCGCTGGGCACACAGGGGATGATGTCCGTCTTCTGCGAGGGTCCCAGGAAGTCCCACCCACACGTTCTAAGTACTTAACTAAAGGTTGACGCAAACTGAACTCTTTGTGCCAGCGTGATAACCCGCTTACGGCTTTATCACGGAACTTCGTATGCTGTAAATGTTTGTCTGCCTCACTGACCAGAAAGAACTCCCCAAGGACAAAGCACAATCTCCGTGAGTTCTGTATTTTCTCATGGCTTCATAGCCTAACAGCAGCTCTCTGCTCGTGGGCCCTATTAGGCACCCAACAACTACTTTTCAAATGATTGTTGAATGTGTCTCATTCCCAATCTTCTCTATACAGGTCCAGGGAATTCTTCACCTCTCTTAGACACAAAGATAGATAACAGAGAAATGTTTTTTCAGACTTTTATTCACCAGTTTAAAAAAAAAAACAAACCTGCACCCACACTATAAACACACACACTCACACACACACACACACACACACACACACACACACACACACACACGGTTCAACCCCTAGACTCAACTAAAGAGTCAGTACATTCGTTCTACACCAAGCTCACTCAAGCCTACCACCAGGCCACCACCGGGGTCTATGCCCGCACAGAGTGGTAGGGGCAGCGCCCAAGCTCGGAGCCAGAGTCTTGGCCTCCTTGGCAGATCCATATGCCTTTCCTAGCCTCCCACTAAGTGTGTTCACAGCAGAGTAGCCTGTTCAGGGTAGGAGATGGACTGTTGATAGGCCGGTAGCCGGGCCCTGGTAGCATCCCTGCGGCGGCGGAAGGCTAGAAATTCCTCCCGGAGGGCAGCACAGCGGGCCTCAGGGCCAGGGGCATGGGCTGTGCTCAGGAGACAGCTCTCCTCTGGAGTCTTCACACCTTCAAAGGAAAGGCAGGACAACGCAGGAGAGACATGGTTGGTGACTCATTGGGTGAAGGGCTCAGGCCTGAGGCTCCAAAGGGCCTTTGCATGCAGTGAGCCTAGGAAGCAAGAGACACTCCAGAGCAGGGAGCCTGAGACTCGGGAATTTGACTGGGAAACAGATGGACTCACCTCAGAACATGGCGGGGGAGGGGGGCGAGTGTGGGGCCGTGCGGCCAGCTAGGAAGTTCACATACCTAACTCTGGCTCATGTTCGGGTCGGGACCGAGCGCTGGCCAAGCCCAGGTGCCAAGTCTCCTGCAGCTCCATGTCCCCGGGGAATTCTGAGTCCCATTCATAGTTCTCATCCACAGAAGTGTTCCTCCTGTTAGAAAGGACAGGTAGAAAGCGTGAGCAGAGGAACAGAGGGCATCCAGCGAAGTATGAACCCGGGGTCCTCTAAACCAGAGTGAGCTTCCTGGACCTCGGCAGAGCTTCTAAGAGAAGGAGTCTTCTGGTCTCAGAGTGGAATAGAACATGGAAGGTGAAGGGGGGCGTGGGGGTGGAGGGCATCTGGAATGATAGGGCAGGATGGAGGGCCAGGGCAAGAATGGGTAGGTATTGCCTTTACCTTTTGCTGACGGTCACTACATGCTCCCTTCGGGGCCACCTCTCAGGGCCACTGGCCCAGCTGCTGGTGTCTCCTGGAGCTGGGCTGAGGTAGCTTCCCCCTGCAGAGGGGGCTGTGGAGGGGGGGCGCAGGAAGGAAGCACTTCCTCTCCCACTGCTCTGGCTGGTGAGGCTGCCACGAGGGGCAGCGGGGAGAAGCCCCGGCAGCACCCGCTCCCTCAGGGTCCAGTCAGTCAAAGCTGTGTAAGGGGGCTCTGAGGGGGCCCCGACCCCCATCAGTGTCCTGGGAAGCACTGCCCTGAGGTTTGCAGGAGGAGAGTCTGGTGGTGGGAGGAAAGATGAGGGGGCACAGGGCTGAGTATCCATGAAATCTGGAGGTGGAGCAGGTGTGGGTTCCTCGAGAGGTGGCCAGTCCCCATCTACATTCATCTCCCGGAAGAAGGGTAGGCTCAGGTACTGCAGCAGGGGTCCTGGACCTGGTAGAGGGGCTGCAGGAGGCGGTCCCACAGGGCTGATGTCTGCAATGCAGAGGGGCTGTGGGACCCCACTGGGGCTGCTACTGCTACAGTCGAAGGACTGGGCCAGGCGTTTGGCTGAGTTCTGAGGTTCTGCCCGCTCCAGACATAACCTTTCCTGTGGAGGGGCCACAGTGGGTCCCATCACAAAGCGGCCATCTGGACCCCGGCAAATGGGCTCCAGTGGCAAGTGTCCCCGACCAATTGGAGAATCCGGGTGGGGGCTAGGAGGTCGGGCAGGCTCCCCCCAGAGCAGACTCTGGCGCAGGCTGGGGACGGGGGAGCCCTGGAGCTTCAACTTGGTCACGCTGTCAGGGCTGTCTGAGCCAGGAGCAGAGCTGGGGGAAGGACAGAAGATCAGGGTCTGGCCTTGCAAGGTCTGTTGCACAACCAAGCAGAGCTAGGGAGAGCAAGCAAGGGCAGGGCCAGGTGGTGGGGGCAGAAGGAAGAGAAACAGCGTGGGACTAGTCCCCAAGCCAGGGACAGCACACGCCTGGTCTCACTTCCCTCTAATTTTAACTCCTTCTGAAGGTACAATGGGAAGCAATAGGAAACCAGAGAGGTAAGGACTTACTGCGGGCCTGACTTCCTAGGTGAGAAGATCAGAGGTGGATCTGTAAGGACATGAAAGCAGGACATGATCCAGGTAAATTTCTGCCCAAGCTCCGGGGATACAACCCTCAACCACATTCCCATCCTACTGGGAAAAGGGTAGGTAAGGGCCAGGTACCAGATTGGAAGGACGCCGCACCAGGACCATGTAAAAAGGGAGAGGCTGTTCTCCCGTGAAGAAGCAGCCGGTGGATGGGTAACCCCTTCAAGTGGCCAAGCAGTACTTAGGACCCCAGTGATGAGGGCAGAGGGGTGAGGGCAGCCTAGGAAAGAGAGTGATGGCACCTACCCTGGCGCAGACGTTTTCTGTGGCGACGGGCAGCCCTGCGCCGATTCATGAGGCAGGCAGCCAGGATGCTCACGAGGACCGCCACGCCCAAGAAGCAGACCCCACCCACAACACCAGCCAATACGGGCTGGGGCAGGAGACCTGGTAGCTGTGTTCGGGAGGGGTACACCTCCAGGCCTGGGCAAAGGGGGACAGGAAAGAGGGCCGGTCAGTGGACTGCGAGCCTCCGTGTAACCTCCAGCGACTTTCCCGCCCACTGGGTTCTCACCGGAAGTGGAGATGTTGGCTGTGTTGCTGGGATCACTGACATAGTTATCAGCAAAGGCCACCAGGCGGAACTCATAGAGCACGTCCTGAGGGTTAGAGGTGGGGGGGCCATGGAGCGGATCAGGGCCAGTACTGCCCACCACAGTCCCTTTTGTGAAGACTGCAGTCGGGAGGTAAGAATGAGGTAGGGCAGGGGGTGAAAATGGCCAAGTCAGGATGAGAAGACGGGGTTAGGAAAGAAGAGTGTGACCCCGTCCAAGTCCCTAGGGGGACCTTCCCTCTTTACTGCCCCCGGCACACACCTTGATAAGGCCAGGCACCAGCAGCTGGATTTCTGTGCCTGCCACGGCTTGGTCCAGTATCTCCCAGCCTTGGGAGCCTTGCCGTCCTTCCAGGACATAGCCATCCAGTCTCTTAGGGATGAGTTCTGGGGGATCCCAGTGCAGGAGTACCCCCCGGGGTGTCCGTACTGCCACCAAACCTCTAGGAGGGGATAGGAGAGGTGGCATCTCTGTTGGAGGAAGCGTAGTGGCAGCTGGTGTGGTAGGAAGCCCTGGATGGGACAGACAGACAAATGAGGGGTAAGAGTCTCAGAGTCCTTCATCCTGTCCCTCCCCTGGCCTGCCCCAACTCATAAGTACCCACGCATTCTGCCAGAGCCTTTCTGTACCCTCTCTGGGCCCCAAGCTGCCCAGCATCTCTGCCCTATCCCCACTCCAGGTCTTCCCATCCATTTCTGTGCCGTCCAGGGTTTGGGGACTTCTTACCTTCTGGTATAGACAGGACAATCTCGCTGAAAGGCCCACTGCCCAGCTTGTTCTGAGCAAGGACACTGAACTGGTACTGAGTGTGGGGTTGCAGCCCTGGCACTAGAAGGCACGTTGCCCCCATAGGCACAGCCAGCGATACCCAGTCATGGTGGGCTCGGTCAGGACGCTTGGCCCTGGGGAATACAGGGAAATCTCATCAGCAAGGATGATCGGGATGGTGTAGGGGTCCAGAGAGCTGACCTCACCCCTCTGGCTCAACCACCAAAGTCTCAGGACCTCGGCCCGGAAGGTCAAGAATCTATGACAATAGGGCGGCAGAGCCAGCCCGTGGCTAGACACAGAGGGATGGAAGGAGGGGCAGAGGGCCGGGTAGATCCAGGGTGAAGTCAGGGACAGGTCACTCACAGTGGGGTATACCAGACACTGAATCTCTGCAGATAGCCACCATCAAAGCCAGGCTCCCAAGAGACATTGGCACCCTTGGGTAAAGGTACCACAGACACATTGGTGACGACATGGGGGCTGGTGCCTGGGTAGGGGGAATGGAGGGAGGGATGATGATCAGGACCCTGAAGTAGGGTAAATAAAGAGTACATCGCAGGTTCTGTCCTCCGCCCATTATCCTGGGGGGGGGGGGGTCCCGTACCCACAGATCCCCACCTACACCTCCCAACAGCGATACCCCCCATCTCCTGTTTCACATGGCTCCCCCAGCCCTAGCCCGCTCCCAGGACACTAACCTAGCACATAGACATTGGTAGAAGTGACCACTTGGGCTACAGCATTGCTGGCACTGCACTCCCATCGTCCATGGGCCTCCTTGGTCAGGGGTCGAAGGATGAGGCTGCTGTTGCTGTCCACCTGGGCCTGGCCCTGCAGCCCCTGGCCCACCTACAGAACCACTGGTCAGCCCTGAGGATACATGCAGCCACCCCTCACCAAGGGGACCACTCATCTCTCCGGGTAACTTGTTCCCTCCCCACATTGCCTCTGACAGCCTGTACCTTCACACATCCCTCCTTCCCCCTCCAAAAAAAAAAAAAAAAAAAAAAAAACCAGCCCGGGGAACGGTGGGCATATGGGCCCAGGTAGAGCCGAGTCAGGAGTCAGGAGCCTTACCTTGGCCCAAGAGATAACAGGAGGAGGGTCTCCTCGAGCGGAGCAGGGGATGAGTAACTCTCGCCCGACTTCTTGGAAATACTCTTCCTTGGGTTGGTCTATAAAAGCCGGGGGAGCCTGCAGGCCAGATCTGGATTTGGAGGGGCCTCTTTCACAGCCCCTCTTTCAGCTCTTGGGTGTCCCCCATTCCCAGACCCTTGTCACACTGTCTCAGTCTCCAACTCATTCTCCCTCTCTCAGTCCTGTGTCTTTGCTCCCAGCAGGTAGGTCTGTCTGCAGGGCAATGGTGGGCTGGGGCAGGACCCTCTGAGACAGATGAGTCTCTACAGATGATCCTCCTTGTCTTCTCTCTTCTCTCCCTCCTCCCCGCTCTCTCTCCCCTTTCCTCCATTTCCTGTGGAACTCCGGCAAGGGAGGCAGAAGGATTGAGGTCAGACAGATATGTCTCATTTTCTGAACGTGTACGTGACTGATGTCCCACTGCCCAGTTTCATCTCTGCGTGTTGTGCTGGCTGTTGCTATGACCACCACAAGAAACAGACTTAGAAGCCCCTCCCATACCTGTCTGCCTGACTCCACCCTCTTAACATGGTTTAGAACGCATATCCAGCCACCTAGCCACGCCACAGCACGTCTGCTGTGGGCCTCACCTTGAGCAGCACTCGGGTCACAGAGGAGGGTCCAGCAGTACCAAGACTGTTGTAGGGGGTACAGGAGTATTCCCCCAAGGCATCCTCATTCCCAAGAGCAATGATGAGTGAGCCCTCTGGGCCCTGTGACCAGCCCGGGAACTAGAGGGCAGAGGAAATGACAAGTAGAGAAGTCAACAGAGGTGAAGCCGGGGTGAAGAGAGGCAACCCAAGTGAGGAGGAGATACAGGAAATTCTCTTGTAGAAAGTCAACCCATCAACGCTGGGTCTTGGCCTGACCCTCTCTCCGGACTGTAGACCTCCACCTTTCTCTCTCTCCTGTCAAGGGGCTATTATCAATGGGTGTGAGACTGAGAGAGAGCACAGCTTCACGGTGCCACTCACAGAGAACGGTGTGAATGGGCATCCCTAGAGTTGAGTCACGTGGGGTTCCCTGCCTGCTGTCCTCCCAGCACGGCGTTGCTAAATTCTGCATCTCCTACCCCAAATCCTCTTCTATAAGAAAGCTCCCCGCCCCCATTCTCCCTGATAAAGTGTGACCCCTCACGCTCCGTATCTAAATACTTGTCCGTCATTCCGGTCTGAGTACGACGGCCTATCTGTCTTCCGGTCCTCTCTAGCTCAGACTTCATACCCCCTCACCTGGACTACCTCAGCTGCTTCACAGCCTTCCAGCTGCCCTCCTAACTCCGACTCAAGAGTCCTGATACCACAACGCCACTGTCAAAACCCACCGCTGCTGTTGCCTTAAGATTTTTGTAAACTTTCTACAAAAATTTACCGGACGCCACAACTGGAAAAGCCCCGAGGACGCTATGATGAAAAGACGCAAGGCCTGAAGGAATTTATAGTCTCCTCAGACAAACAAAAGATCTCAATCAGCTTGGAATGAGGTCATCTGAAGTTGGCACGCAGTTTTCCCTTTAGGACCCAACCTGTCTTTCCAGCCTTTTCTACACCACTCAAGTCCCTACAGGTGCTCACAGCAGCTCCCACCTCGCCGCACGACTCATCATTTCATCAACCCACGATACCATACCCTGCCTCTGTGAAGTGGTTTCTGCGTCGAATGACTGCCCACTCTGCAAGATCTATCCCCAGAGTCCCAGGATTTGTTACTGAGCTCTCCTCCATCAGACCTAGAAGCAAAGCCTTGTTCCTTCTCTGGCCTGGCAGCAGAGTCTCTGTTCCAGTTCCATCCTCCAGGCCACGCTCTAAGGATGGATACTTCTTCGTTACGCCCCCACATCCACCACCTAACACAGTATCTGGTAAGAAGCACGTTTCCAAATAACCACGGCACTGAATTACACTCAGCCACCCACTGCAGTTGGCCGTCTGACTATAACAACACCTAGCCAAGACCTTCCTTCCCGTGTCCTGAGTCTGTACCTTGTCCAGCTGCAAGGCCTGCCCGTCTTTGGTCCAGGTGACAAAGAGCAGTGGAGGGTTAGCACGAACTGGACACTGGATCACCCCCCGCATGCCAATGGGCAGAGGTGTCTCGGGAGGCATGACTGTCACCTGTGCTGGGTCTGGAAGAATGTAGAGGCAAGTTGGAGGACAAGGTCTTGGGTCTGTCTGGGGGGGGAGAGTAGCAGGCTGCAGGGGTGGGGGGGCGAGGGTGGAAGTGGGAGCTCAGACTTACAGAGCACAGTGAGATAGGCGGAAGCGGAGGGTGGATGCGGAAAGCCATTGCTGGGCACACAGGTATAGTGGCCAGCGTCGTCAGGCTGAGTGGCCTGCAGCCACAGGCTTCCATCTACCAGGATCCGCACGCGAGGCTGTAGGCGGCTGCAATGTGGCATGTGTGAGGAGGAACTCAGGCCTCGCCCAGACGAGGAGTCCCTCAGATACTACTCATCCGTTCCCTGACTCCGCTACCCAAGAGGTAGGTTACCCTACCTAATGTGGAAGACATTAATGCCATCCTGGAACCAGCTGTAGGTGAGGTTAGCGGGGTATGCCTCAGCCTGGCAGGCCAAAGAGACATCCTGGGAGGCATTGACTGTACTGTTGATGGGGGGTACCACGATGACAGGAGGTCCTGTGGGAAGTACAAAGGCAGAAAGATGTCCTCAGCCCATGGTCTTCCCAGAACCCTCGGGGCTCTTCTGGCTCTGCCCTTTGTAACCTGCGGCACATTACTACAGGGCTTTGAGGGCCTGAGGCGGAAGATGTGATAAAAAAACCATCCTATACCAGAGGCTGCTCTCTTTTCCAAGTCTTCCTTGTTTCACAAGAAGTGACAAGTAGCCCTATTTACTCTATTTCCTTCTGCTTAGAAACCGTATGTGAAGGACTCTGTTCATTTACTCTTTCAGTCCCTGACACATCCCTGTCCCCCACACAGGTCCCATATGTCACCAAAGATGCTGTAACAATGCCAGGATCTAGATTCCCCTGGCATCTCAACACTAATGGCCATTTATGCAGAAAGGACCTCACCGGCTCACAGAAAACTTTCACCCCAGTGCCTGCCCATAACCCCCACCTGGCCACCCATTTTTCTATATGTCAACTTCATCAGGAAGTCCCTGATCAACTTCATCATATGTCCCCATGCCAGGCTGCTTCCTTGTCCCTAGTGAATCCCAGGTCCTGAGTACCATTTCCTAGGGTCTAACCCAGCCACACACCTTCTGCAAACCTGTCTCTAGCTACCATACCCCCATTCCCTTCTCCGTCCCTGGACCCCAATGCACAGCCAGTTAGGGTCAGTAACAAGTGGGAAGTGACCTAAGTGCACCCACGGAGCACCTGCCACAGGCTACACTGAGCGCCTAGCACTCTGCTTGCTTATCTCTCAGAGCCCTCGTAAGAACCAGTGTGGTTAGAATTATCTCTCTGCTTTGGCAGATGAAGAAGTGACGTTTCAGAGGCAGACACATTATGAGGTAACTCGCCCGAGGTCAAAAAGGGAGGCAAGACTTCTACTTGGGCCTTCCTGATGCCAAGGTCTCTGTCCTTTAACTGTGATCCAACCCTGCTCTTGTCAAGTACCAAGGACAATGACACTCCAGTAGTTCACAGATTAATCTGTTTCCCCTCCAGGACACCAGGTGCTAGGAAGTCAGAGTCCAGCCTCACACAGCTCCTTAGCCTCTCCTGCCCAAGGCAAGAGCTAAGAGTGACTACATGCCACTTTCTGTGCTCGTCCAAGTCCCGAGAGGTAGGCATGAACTTCTTTTTTGAGATGACACAACCAGGACCCAGGAGAGTCCCAGGGTTCGTGGCCTAACACTAGCGCCCACGTTCTTTCTGCTATTATACACTGCCGGGCACTAAACCGCCCATGTCTTCATCCTTTCTCTCACCCTACCGGGGCCCCTTCCTCAGATAGGAGCCTCCTCCCCATCTTCTGCGTGCTTCCCCAACACAGGTCCTGTCTTCTCACATGGGTGGCCCGGGTCCCCAGCCCTCCCACCCAAGAGCACCTAGCACCAGCAGTTGTGTGGTATGGGTGACGCTGCCCTCGGTGCTGGAGGCTCGGCAGGTGTAGTCCCCGGCGCTGCCTCGCTCCACCCGGCGGATCCAGAGCGTCCCGTTCTGCACCTAAGTAAGGAGTCTTTAAGAAAAGGCCCTTCCTGTTTGGGCAGCCTCAGACCCTGCACTTCCAGGGCTGGCCAGCAGAGGGAGGCAGCACCCCAGGCTCAGGGAAGCCAAGGGAAAGCCCCTCCCCCGACCCATCTCCCAGCGGAGCTTCTGCCCCCATCTCCTGCCCTCCCAATTCTGCCCGCCCAATCCAGGGGGGCCACTCACTTGCACCTGACCCTGGCCCTTGCCAAGGTCCTGTCCTCGGAATTTCCAAGTCACATAAGGCTGGGGGCTGCCCCGGGCCACACAGCGCAAGGTAACAGCCTCCAGTTCCTTCACTTCCAGGACTAAGGGAGGCGTCTCCAGGAGCTGAGGGGGCGCTGTGAGGGGAAAGAGGCCTCAGGGGCTGCCAGAAAGGCTATCAGCCCACAAAGCAGTGTTCAAGAGCCAGGGAGACCTCATCTCCGAGCTGCTGCCTGCCCAGGTACATGGGAATACTAGCCCAGGGTCACCTGCCTGCTGTACACGGGACCATCCCAACACTGGCTGCATGTCCAGAGCAAGCGCCCAGGGAAATCTGGGAATCAGGAGGTGTGGGTTTTAGACTCATCTCCGCCACCCATTGGTGGCACAAACTGCCTCTCTACCTGATTCTCCGCAATTTCACCTATGAAGTGGGAATGGTTACAACTGTCTCCCTTCTAGTGACGAGGAAGAAACAAGGTCCCGGATGGAAAGTGCTATGCATGCACGGGTGAGCTGCATCACTCGGGACCCAATACACCAGGAGTGGAAGTTCCTGACTCAGAGCCTAGAGGCCGATTGGATTTTATTTGAAGAACTCAGAGGGTGGGAGGGAGGGCAGGGGTAAGAGGCAAGCACCAGATGAGCAAATCCAGTGAGCAGATGCCAGGATGGGTAGAGCATCAGCCCTGCACTGGGATACAAGCAGCTTCCCTTCTCTCCTTCACTACCAGGGCTCCCGTCATTCCCCTCCCCTTCCCACCCCCACCCCCACCCCCGCACCCGCACCACACCACCTGCCCCCCTGCTTCATACAATTGACTGTCAGGTGCACCCAGGAGCCGTTGGCAAAATCCTGTTCAGGGCTGTGTTGGTCCAGGAAGAGCACACGGCACTCGTACCAACCCTGGTCTTCCACCCGGAGCCCCTCAATCTGGAGAGATGCTCCTGTCCGCAGTCGGACTCGCCCTGTGAGGAGGGAAGTCCTGAATCAAGGGGGCTGAATGAAGGAACTCTGCAGGAGCCTCCCCCCCCGCACCCAGGCCTGGTCACACAGGCCATTCCCAGAGGTGGAGAATAGCCTAAGCCTGTTACCCAAGAGTGAGGGTCTGCAGAGGAACCGATAGGATTGAGGTCACTGAGGGCAGATTGCTATGTTCAGTCCTTCCGACTGCTCCTGCCTTTCAATAGATAGCTGAGATCCACAGCAGAAAAAGTCAAGGCATTCTGGTAAGTGGACAGAATGCGCCCCTCACATACACCAGACTTCCCAGACTGTTAGGGGAAGGAGTGAAGAGCCAGCATTTGGTGGTCCCCTCTGGACTCCTACAAGATTCACCATCCCTGGTGTCCTTTATAAGATCAAGATATAAGTCCTCTGGGGGTACTCTGGCTTTTAGAGGACTCTGTCCCTGGAATCCCCAGCAGTCTTTGGGGCCCTCCCAGGGACCCAGACCTCGCCTGCCAAAGCCCGTAATCCCTCAGAGCTATTATCAGCGGCCTAAGCGCCTTAGAGTGGCCAGAGTCCAGCCCAGCCAGGCCGCAGTGTCAGCAGCCTTCTCCACACATCCCATCCCCTCTGTGCCCCAGTTGACTGACCACATGCAGCCCCACAAAGCCCCACACCCCAGCACAAAAGGACACCTCATTCCCGCCAGGTCAGCATCCACAGCACATCCACCCGGCCGACTGAGATGCCCACCCCATCCCTCAGCACCCTCCTCTGAGGGAACCCTGCACCCTGACAGCATTACAAGTGAGAAAGGCACATGCTTGGCAGCCCAAAACAGCCAGGCACAAGTCCAGCTCAGCTGGATGCTCCTTTGGGCAAGTTACGCCGAGACCTGGCCATTTCAGTTTCCTCATCAGTTAAAAAAAAAAATGAGAAAGGGAAAAACTGGGATGAGGTGGAAGGCCAGAGATGAAGCAGGGGAGGTGCAGAGCACCTGGTCACTGGATGCTCAAATAAAGCCTGTTAAACAAATGAATACGACACACATTTGAAATCAGAAGTCTACACTCAATCCTGGGCCCGTCCCTCATCAAATAACGTATCACCTCCCTTTCCTCTTCCACATCAGTGAACTGTACCACCATGCACCAGGTTGCCCTCTGGGGAAGCCTGGCACCACCTGGATTGCTCCATCACCCCCTGCCATGTAGTTATTCATTACATCTCCCAAACCCTACCTCCTAAGCATTAGTATTTCCCTCTCTGCCACCTTCCACCTTGAAGTCTGCAATGTGTCTCTCACCTGGGTTATCCAGCTGCTCCATCCCGCCTACACTTACCAGTTGCCCATGCTCACTTGACCTTTGCTGTGAACAGATGGAATTTTCTAAAATTCACAGGATGGGCAAATGAAAGCTCCCAGGTGGTGCTTTCAGAGTCCTGCCTAGCCCAACCCTCCCCGACAGAAGCAATCCTGAAGCTGCTGGGGTACCCACGCCCTCCAAGCTGCTTCCACTCTAGGGTGGCCTCTCGGAAGTAGAAACTCAGCCTGCTTGCCCTTGGTTGCCACTAGAGAGATGACAACCATAGGATCGAGGGTGGCTAATGGACCTTTCTTCTTCTAACAGTTGGCCCCTGGGTGTGTGGATTCTTTAGACTGGGTGGACCTTCATATAGGTCTGGGTGTATAATCCCCACCCAGAAGATAAAAATGGGCCTAGCAGGTAAATATTTAACATAAGAATACAGTACCCTTCCTCATACCTGCAAGGTCCCTGTCACTCTAATGTGACAGGCCACTGAGCCCAGCAGACCCCAGACTGCAGCTTCCTCCACACCCCCACATCATAGAATTTCTCATTATGGTAATCGCTGAGCTCCTGAGCAAAGGAAGAAAGACTAAGCATTGAATATGAGTCGTGTGATATTAGACAGTCACCATATTTAATCCTCCCCAAAAAATCCATTATTGATGAAGGAACTAATGTTAAACTTCTTTCCAAAATTGCATAGCTATTAGGAGATCAAGCCAGGTCTCCCAAAGTCAGTGCACTTTCCAGTGAACACCGACATCAGAATCAAATAATGTTCAGGACACTGAGCATAATCTCTGACTTCACTTAAGAAATGTTACCAGCTAATGGCTAACAGTCCTGATGCCAGTTAACCAGAATATTCAGTGCAGCATGTTGTACAAACTAACCTCCCTAGGAGGTCCACACTGCTGGGCTGCAGTGTTTCAGAACAAGAAGGTGACCAGAGTGGCAGTCCTATAACTTCCTGTCCCCTGGGCCCACTTCCTCCTATAGATAGGCCTGCCCTCCACCTGCATGGCCAAACCTAATGGACTTCAGATCTGCCTACATACAGAGTCTGAGAAGGACAGAGTCTGCTCTCTTGGGCTCTGCAAAGGCAAGAAACCCACACTAAATTTAACCATGAACATGGACAAGTGTATGTTCACACCGAAGTTTGGAGCACAGCAGTGACCGTGCCCACATACTGCACTATGAAGCCAGAGGCATAAGGAAGCATTCTGGGAAGATGTATCGAGGCAAACAGCTTGGAAGGATCAAAGGCAGGAAGGGCGGCTTATTAGAGTAAGCTTGGACCTTCTAGATGGACATTCAGAGTTGATTTATCGAGCAATCCAGTATAGTCATAAAACCCAAGTCCCTTCTGCTCTGCCGGGCATCCCTGAAACACAGCCCAAAAGTCAACGGACAAGGGCCAGTCTCACTGATTCAGACTTAGTCTAACATCCATCCCAGGAAGCCTAAGTCCAGATCGCCTTTCCCCAATTCCTGGTCAGTTTCACACCACCCAGGTGCTATGCTAAATACTTTAAATACAGTAGCTAACTTAATTAGTCCTAGATCATTTTATACTGCCTTTTACTACTTCTATGCAAGTATACATCTAGGTTTCTCTACTCCACAGCTTCTAGAGCCCTCCAAAACCAGCTTTCCCTTCAGCGTGGTTCCCAGAGCTACTATCTCTCTCGTGATTGCTCCCACACTCTAGGCCACCAGCGTCATGCAGTCCCAGGCCATCTCCCCTCCACTTGCCCACAGGGTTTATGACAGAACAGCATTGTCCTCAGCAACCTCCACCTCCCGTTGCTTAGCAACCGCAATTGTGAGTCCCCCAGCACAAAGGCGGAGAGGCCCCCCCCCCTTCTGAACTGTGAAGCGATAAAGGGTTAATGGGCTCAGAGGCCTCCCTCTGGGGTCTTCACCAGAGCAGGACCCATGTGGCTGGTCAGAAGCTCCAGGCCACTCAGGGGCAAGAGTGGGAACAAAGGGAAGAGGGACATCCAAAGGCTTGCAACTCCCAGTCCTTCGAGCTGGAGAAAACTCACAGGTAGACAGGGGAGCTAGCCATCTCCTGGCTTCTCTGCCTAGGGGCCCAAGGACAATAAAGACTAATGTTGCGGCAAAGGAAGGCGGAGTCCCAGGGAAAGCCCTGCCCACCTCGCCTCCACTCCCCCCCTGCCTCGCCTCTGCCTGGCAATAATTTGAATTTGTCCAGCCTCAGCCCTGCAGCCAAAGCCCCCCCGGGGCACAGACAGGCACAGACAGGGAGGCCGCCTGTTTCTGCCTGCTGTTTCTCTCTACTTGTGCTAATTGAGGCCCACTTTCACCAAGCCCCCAAGGCTTGTGTAGACACACACACACTCGCACTCCCAACTAGGCTGTTTGCCAATAACTGCCCCCAGTTTGAAAATAAACTCTCTCTGGCAGGCACCTGCCGGCGCCTCCCACCCCCCACCCCCCCTCCGCTCAGCCAGCCAGTGACAAGAGCCCAGCCAATCCCAGGATTTCCCTCAGGATTCAAACCAAAGACAGAAAAGGTACCCCATCAGCATCTCTCCAGGTGGCCTTTTCTGGGTTTCACTCCGGGCAAAGGAAGCGCCAAAGCTCTTTCTTGCCCAGCAGCCCAGATCCATCCTTAGGGCCTCCTAAAGGTTCTCTGAGACCTTACTCAGATTGAGGCTCCATCCAGGATCAGGAACACACTGGGGTGCAGGAAAGAGGTCTTCTTCTACTGGGAGGTCTACACAGTACACCTCCACAGGAGCCTCCAGAAGCAGCGACCCAGCCAATCTCATCTATGCCTAGACTTTCGGGGGAACTGAACTGGATCCTCCCCCAGCAGCCCCCGTCTGTGTTCATGTTCTCTGCTACTCAGAATCAGACGACGATGACGATGACGACGAAGCTCCTCATACCCAAAGAGCTCGCATAACTACCCACTCTGTGGACCCTTCAGCCCACTCCCTAAAAGCCTGGAGCCTCCACACTGGCATTTTGGACAGTAGGGAAAGGGAAGACATGGAGCAGCAGGTAGTAGACCCAGAGACCAGCACAGGGTTAAGTGGGGGAACTACAGAAGATCAAGATGGAAGGTTGCATGAAATGAGGATCGAACAATTAGCAAGTCAGGATGGAAACCTGTGGAACAGGGCTGCGGGATCTCCCGTGCAAGACGCCACACATAGCTGAAGGAGCAAAGCTCTAACGTGTGCATGCATCATGTATAAATAAATGAATCCTTCAATGAATTAGCACTACCGGGGAGCAGGGCCATGCTTGCTAAGCAGTTGGGGCAGCAGAGCGGGAGATGCGACTGGAGAGGGCCCAGAGCAGCCTACTCAACCCACCTGTGTTGGTGACACTCCCCCCCTCCCACTTAAGGACAACTCTTACCCACGTAATCAGGGTCAATTCGGGGAGAGTAGAGGCCGAACTGGATGAAGATGGGAAGCAGGAATCCAAAGCGCAGCCACTCGATGACATGCAGAGGGGGGCGGCCAGCTGGAGGCAGCAAGTCACAGCCCAGAACTGCACTCTCCCCAGCCCGGCCCACCACAGAGACCACCTCAGGCTTCTTTCGACCTACGTGGTGGGCAGGACGAGGGAACAGCAAGGGATCAAAATGAGATTTGGGAGGGGAGGCTCCATCAACGTCTCTCTATAGTTTCCTTAAGACTTTGCGTGACAGGAGGGACCCCCAACCTCTCTGAGCCAGCCCTAGCGAGCCAATCTCCTATTCTCACATTCTCACAGATGACCCCTTAGTGAACAGTCACATCCCAGGGTAACAGAGATGACGATCCCCGGGGGTCTGGCTCACCGTCAGCCCCCTGGCTGATGACCAGGCTGAGGATAGTCAGACTGAGACACCAAATCATAGCCCAGCTGGCCTGCTCACCCGGCCCCTCCTATCCACAGGAGCCCAGATGGAGGGGCCGGAAGGATGTCCACTGCCCAGCAATCCCAGAGAGCATCAGTCGTGTTCTGATCCGCCTCGGGCAACCGGGTTCAGCTCTCACTCTTCCAGTTAATGCCTAGCTCATGCAACACCCGAGGGAGCTGTTCCAGTCTGGAGAGCCACCAGATCTAAATGCAAAATATAAGGCAACATACAGAGTTGGTCAGTGGAGGAGACCAGAAGAAAGCCCTGTTTGAGCGAGGTGCGGGGGAAGAAAGAAGAGGGTGTAGAGGAAAGGAAGGGACCGGCACGGAGACCAGAGATTTTTGGGGTAGTACCGCTGGGGATCAACTCCGGGGCCTCATTCCTGCCAAACTCTACCACAGTTGTGCTCCTAGCTCCCAAACCAGAGATCCTGAAGCCCTAAGATTAAGCTAGTGTATGAACACTAGAGAACAAGAGACTGCTGTTGGGCTGAGACTACACAGGTAAGGGAATGGATCCCAGGAAAAGCAAAGGAATTCTGGGAATGCCTGGAAGGGGATACAATGTTCTTAGCAAAGTGAGCAAAGAGAACTCACACAGGAGGAAAAGGATTTATCAGGGAAGTCCTGGAGATGAGGACCATCGTGCCTAGCCCCCTCATCCTTCTTTCCTTTCTCCCAATGCCAACAAGGTCACCAACAACATGATAGGACCATTATTCACCACCACCACCACCACCACCCCGAGTGGCCAATAAGGATCCTAAGGGTCTTGCCCAGAAGCAGACAGCTAGTCTAGAGCAAATCTCAGACAGAATCTAACCCTTTACCCTGTAGAGAGTGCCCCACAGAGCGCCCACATCCAATTCCTCACCCCACTTCCCATCCTCTGTGCTAAGCCCTGGAGCCTGGAGACATTCCCTACTCAGTCAACATCGCTTGCCATCCCCACCTGCTGAAGAATGGGAGGTGGGAGAGGGAGGCAGCATCCTCCAGGTCTGGGCAGATCCAGGCCTGGCAGCTGTAGCCACTTTCAAAATGCTGCCAGAGAACCCTCCCTCTGCCAGACACCCGACTTGGTGCCTCGCCCTAATTACTCCCACGCACTCTTCTCTAGTGCCCTGGGGGTGCCAGGATTTGCCAGGCCCACCATTCCCAAACCCTAGAGGCATGATCTGAGAGAAACCAAAAACGCTTTTGAGTCCCTACCATACACAAAACGAACCCTGGAGCATGGAAGGCAGGCAACTCCTCAGTGTCTAAGGAAGTCACAAAGGACCAAAGGGCCCTGACCTGGGCCTGGCAAACCAAGTGGACTCTGCTCTGAAGCCTCCACCCTCTTCTTGGCCTCACACAATTCAGCACTGTCTGTAAAATACCCTCCACAGGGCAGTATCATTCCTGCCTCTGCATAACACCGGTTTGCCTGACTCCTGGTAATTCCCTTGCCTCCTGCTGCACCCAGCCAGCTCTCCTGGACTTCCCTGGAAAACCTTCCAATTGTACCATAGAGAAGCCATTCTCTTCTGGCTCTACCAGGAATCTTGTGACCAAGGCATCCTCAGAATTTATCCTACTTTTCCTGGAACCTTTCCAACTCCTACTCCCCATCCATCCTCCGTCCTTTCCATCTCCCCGTCCAGCACTCCCTCATTTCTTCCAGGACTCCCATCCCAGCCATACACTTTTCACAATGTCTGCAAGATTCCAGTTTCTCACACCTGATCTCCAAGTACAGAGAGAGGGGCCTCGCTTCAAAGCAACCTTGGCTGGCCTCCTCCAGAATTCCCACTTGCCCTCCTCCCTTTTCCCCACCCTGCTCTCCCGGGAATCCCCCACCTCCCAATCCTCCAGGACGCAGCCCACAATACACTTCTCATGGTCTACCACAACAACAATTCTCTTTTCCCTCGCATTCTCTGGCTCCTGGAGCGCCTTCCTTTTGGAACCCGCCAAGAACTCCCCTGTATTACCTCCTACACTCTTCCAGATCTCTGGGAACCCCCACTCACCCATCAATAATTCCACTTCGCTCCCAGCACTACCCTGGTTCTGCTTCCCCAGATAATTTCACTTCTCTCTGAAGCTCTCCCGCTTCCCCCTGGCCCCCAGAACTCCTCACTGCTCCCCATGTCCCCGCCAGCACCCCATTTCTACGCCCCAGGACACCCCCACCCTCACCTGCTCTGCACCGCACAGCTCTGCTCTCGCAGCCACACAATAGGGGGCGGACCCGCCTCCCCGCCTCAGATGCCCCGAGCGCCTCCCGTCGCCCTGGAGACCGCCAATCCCCCCCCTCCCGCGGCGTCCAATTGGAGCCAACAGAGGCCGGGCAAGGCGGGCGGGACCCCCGCGCCTCCTGGGAGTTGTAGTTTAGAGACAGAAGGACGCGGTCGCACGTGGGCTCCAGTCGCCCCCTCGTGGAGCTTTGTACAACTAAGCGTGGGAAGGCTGACCGCCGCTTCCCGCCTCTAGTCAGATGGGCTACTGGGTCGGACAGACTGGTGCACCAAGAGCCGCAGGAGCCTACCCCCTTTGCAGGATGCTTGCATGCCCTCCTTCCTTTATAACTTACCCGTGGCCTTCTCCTCTTTCCGAACAAGCGTGCCACAAAGGAGGCATCGAAGGTTGAAATCTGAGCCAGGGGCAGGAGCACCTGGTGGAGAGCACGATTCCCCGCCCCCTCCCTGGGGATCCACCCAAGTCCCGGACCCATCTGATCTCCTATCTTTATCCCCACCCCCACCCATTTCCTCTCGCTGGACTGGAAATACCTGTCTGTATTGGCTAGCTCCCAGCTTTTGCCCAGGCGCCTCCCCGTGTGTGTGTGTGTGTGTGTGTGTGTGTGTGTGTGTGTGTGTGTGTGTGTGTGTGTGTGTGTGTGTTTGTGGCTGGAGAAATAAGCCCAGGTGTGTGTGTGTGTGTGTGTGTGTGTGTGTGTGTGTGTGTGTGTGTGTGTGTTTGTGGCTGCCGGGGCAGCTTCTGGCACCAACGACCTAGAGAAATAAGCCCAGGGGGAAGAAATGACGGGCGCCCTGACAACGGAGATTGAAAGAGAAAGAATGGAATTATCTGATCCTTCACTGAACCCCTTGCAGGGTGCCAAGCCCTGGGGTAGATGCACGTTTAGTTCATTGCTCCTGTCATCTGCCCTGAAACCCCCGCGAAGCGAGTGCAGCTCCTTTTGACAAGTGGGAAAGCAGCGGCTGGACCAGACGGAGGAACTTGCCCAAGAGTTCCCACCTAGGCACATTCAGGGTCCAGCCTGGATCACGGAACCCACCCCCTTGGACATTTCACCCACAGGCAGAAATATACCTGCCCTCAGAAAATGGTACCTCTCAGCTTGGCGCTGCTGTGGGGGTGCGGGCTTGCTATTTGCTCTCCCAGCAGGCCCAGGCAACAAGGTCCAGGTACTACTTCCCAGTGAGCTCCTCTGGAAGCCCTCCCTGAAAGCAACATACTGTCCTCACCACACTCTGACTGGGGTTGAACTCCCACTCAGTGTATCCCGCATGTAGTTAATGGAATCCAGGTCAGAACAGACCCTGGGGAAAGATTGTAAGCACACCTGAATCACTGTCACACCACCCCCTATAGTGGTCATCCAGATCTGAACCCGTTGCTGTGGTTGGCCTTCCATCTTTAGTAAGTCCTGAGAGCTGGAACATTCTTCCAGGTGTAAGTGCCTGAGTGTTTTGGGGGAGGGGGGGAGTGGCGGGGGGTGCGGGGAGCAGGGAGCGGGGCGAGGGAAGGAGGCTGCAGCAGAAACGTGGTTTTTCCTACCACCCCTAACAAGGGCCCAGAACTAGTGGCTTTGCCCCTCGTTTGCGCAGTAGGCTGCCCTAACAGTCGACCAGGTGATATCATGCCAGTAAGAAGAGCATGAACATAACGGTAGACTATACAATCAAAAGAGGAAGTCTTTGATTTCCTGGTTCCTTACCAATTAATTGTAAGGCACTGGCCCCACCTCTGGTCCAAGAGTTTCATTTCTGCAGTCTATGGTGGTTTCTGATAGATAAGCTACTCACTTTCATGTGGATGTTAAAATAATTTTTTTTTGTAAAAATGAGATTTTTACACGGTTTTCAAATTTTAAGTTTATATGTTCATGCTTTTCCTGAAAGCTTTTTTTTTTTAAATTATTATTGTCATTTTTGTCTGATTGATGTATCTTACGTGTTTGTTTTGTTTTGTTTTTGTAAGAAAGGGAACCTAGACCTGTGACTTGTTCCCTCCTTACTCCAGAAGTGAAGTTGATTTTTTTTTTTTAAGTAATCCCTAAAGGTCAAAACTAAAGATTTTACCCCCACTTGTCCTTGGGCCATAGTAATTGCTCCTCTGGAAAAATTTATTCAGCCAACCAGGACTGCATCTAACGTATCAGCTAGCTTGTTTATTTCCATTTCTGGGTGAGACTATCAGAAAATGGTGAACCTGGGGAGCCTGTGGACAGCGTGTCCATGAGTCCTGGTCTCTCACCTTTTAGAACGTGCCTCTCCAGTCTGTTTTCTCACATACCCTTTTGCCACAGTGTGTGGCATGGCAATCCCTAGTTACTATGATCCTTCACTTATGAGCATCTTGGTGTGTATTTTCTGTCTGGCTTGAATGTCCATTCCCCAGATTGCATGAACCTATTTCAAATAATGAATAAGATTATCTTAACGTGCCGCCAGGTCACTAGCCTGGCTTCCGAGGGTACACTCTCTGCGAAGTTTAAGTCTTCCTTCTCCAGGCTGTTTTGGACTTTTCTCTGTTCCGAGATTGGCTCTGAGAAGCAGGGACTCTGCCAACTCCAGGGAGATCCCTGGACCTGCCACACAGGGACTATTCGCTTCTGTTTGCTTCCTGTACGCCAGCTCCAAAAGACAAGAGAAATGGGCTGTCCCTCTCTGTGAAAAAATGGACTCCAGGTGGTTCACCCAGGCAGGCCCTCACCTTATGGTGGCACCTCCTATGACAGGCATGGAAAGTGTCAGGAGTTGGGGCTACAGGCCTTTTTTGAAGACAGGACTATCTGGTACCTAAAGGAGGCCCAGTCTCTGTAAGAACTCCAGGAAGCTACACCTACGTCTTCCTTTCAAGTATGTGTTTTTTGTGGAACTGAACTGAGGCTCAATGGATGTTGGGTAAACACAGGATCCCAGGCCAGGGGAAAGTGCCTGAGTAAAACCTAGGTCTCCCAAGATCTCACCCAGTTCCCTCTTTGGCACATCCTATGTCACCTCCACCAAGTCATTTATTACTTACACCTGTCCTACTGATTAAGTGGCTTCCCTTGCACCCCCTCCTCCTCTGAACCCTGGCAGTTACCTAAGTAAAACACCCAAGATCAAATTTGGGGAAAATGGTATGATAGGCACATCAGACCTAGGGCTATGGAAAGAGCAAGAGTAAGGAGCCCCCTACACTGACCAAATATTCCAATCAAAACGCCTAAAACAGAAACCTATAAGAAAAAAACAAACAGGCCGGGCGGTAGTGGCGCACACCTTTAATCCCAGCACTCGGGAGGCAGAGGCAGAGGGATCTCTGTGAGTTCAAGGCCAGCCTGGGCTACAGAGTGAGTTCCAGGAAAGGCACAAAGCTACACAGAGAAACCCTGTCTCGAAAAACAAAAAAAGAAAAAGAAAACAAACAAACAAAAAAACCAGGAAGGCCTCAAAATCAACTTAGATAGGGTTTCTTTGTGTAACCCCTGACTGTCCTGGAACTTGATTTGTAGACCAGGCTGGCCTCGAACTCAGAGATCCACCTGCCTCTACCTCCCAAGCGCTGGTATTAAAGGCGTGCGCCACCACACCTAATGTCAACCTTAAACAAAAGTCAAGGGTACAAGATCTTAGTAATTGATCCAGTGAGTGGTCACTCCTACGAGGTGAGCAGCAGGGCTCAGAGTGGGGTATCAGGGAGACAACAGAGGTCACCAATCTCAACTATAACCCAGAGAAGGACTGAGCAGGGGTCTCTGCCACCTCCTTGTGGGACAGCTTCTATGTAGACTTGGTACACTGGGTAAAAGAGTTATGTAAAGTTATCTGTCAAAATAAGGATAGGGGTAGGAGAGCAAGGAGTCTTAGGCACAAGAGTTATGAACTAAATGAACTGCTGTCACAGATTTAGTTAGGTGAGAAAGCCTTTCATGTAGTTTATTGTAAGACTTAGGTTGGTGAAGAATGGGATGCATGCAGTAAAAACAAACACTTCACTCTAATGGGGTCTTCAGACTCATTTTCCCGCCCAAAGGCTAGCCTGAGAAGGGACGTGGGCTTCAGTGAAGATACCTGGACAGGTAGTGAAAGTGGGCAACAGGTTTTCCCTGGGCTGCCCAGCACCAACACAAGTGTCAATCAAGCACAGCTCTTCCAGAAGGTGGGGACTGACTTTATTGCCAGCTGGTGTCTCTCAGGGAATATGGCCCTTTGAGGTATTCAGCAGTGATCCTCCCACCTGTCCCCCAGATGATTTCCCTGGAGGCTAAGAGGAGACAAAGCTCAGAAGAGGGATCTCCAGGGGCCGATCAGACTGGACTAGGGCCAGGCTTCCCCTTCTTACGCAGTTTGATTCGGTTTCTCTTGAGTTTCCTCACCCTCGCCATCTCATAGTTTTTCTGGGCTCGGAAGACACAGAGTCCCACAGCCAGAGTTACCAAGAGTAAGAGAAGGAGCAAGCCCTTGGCCAGGAGGCAGACCACTGAAGACTTCTCAGAATAGCCAGGCTCTGTATAGGAAGAAAGGAAAAGAGTTCATTAAAAGAATGGTTAAGTTTAGAGGGCAGTTATCTGTCTAGTTTCATAGAAAGGCTCTCCAGTTAATAATCAGCTCATCTCTTATACCAAATGTCTCTAGAAATACCAATCCCTGCACAGAACTGGTATCTGGCCCTCAGTCTCAAGCCAAGTGCAGAAGAATCCTCTGGAAATCCAGAGCAACTGACAAAGGCAGGGTCCCTCCCTGATCCAGTGGCAAGCCTCTACAGAATAATGTTGTGTTCTAGGGTCCCTGGAGAGCCTCAGGCATGAGGGGAGGTGGTATCCTGAGGCACAGGACTTGTACAAGCTCAGGAATTGTTTCTTGGGTTCTGGTACCTGCACAGAAGGACCCAACAGGGATGAGACGGGAACTGGAGTAGCTGACGGGGTTGCTGACCCTACAAGTGTAGGAAAGGGCTTCGTCACCAGGCCTCCAAGATGTACTGATGACAGAGCCTTCATGAGGAGTGTCAGTGCTGTCCTGAGATGAAAGCCAGCTGTAGGTCACATCCACGTCTGCTCTCTCTACAGAGCACATCAGGGATATGTCACAGGCACCTTCCTCAGGAATCTTAACGTTCACAGTGATGTGGGGCCTTGACAGTCGCCCTAAAAAAGAAAAAAACATGAAGACCCACTGAACAGTCTGAAGTTGGGTCTGTTTTCCTAAGTCTCTCAAGCCTTGGGTATTCTTGCCATCTTGAGAGGCCCTTTACTCAAAATAAATAAATAAATAAATAAATAAATAAATAAATAAATAAATAAATAAATAAATAAATAAATGAATGAATGAATGAATGAATGAATAAATAAATAAATAAATAAGCAAGTAAATAAATAAATAAATAAATAAATAAATAAATAAATAAATAAATAAATAAATAAATAAGCAAAACCAGATAAAACAACAATATCATTTGTGGTTGCAGGGCCGCAGAATATCTGCTTAGACAGATATACACCAGTGGTTCCTTGTTACTTCACTCTTAGTTTATACACCTCCTTCCCCTAGATCCTCTTCGGTCTCACTGATTGTACAAAACATTACCACCCTCCCAAAGACATTTACATTTTAATCGCCTCTCCAAGGTCCTAAGTAGATTCAATGTGGCAGGTAGAGAGAAGAAATGTTAGTTCAGGTGGGGGAGGAAATGATGAGTAACCCTCAAATCACACAGGGAGATAAAGGGCTCAAGAGCTATTTATCTAGAGGATGCAGTCTCCTGGGTGAGAAAAGGGCCCTTCGATGCCCTATTCACAGTCCTCATCTCTCTCACTGCTTTGGGAACCTCTGTGGAAACATCCTCAGTCCTAATGCCTCCTTGTTCTAGCCCACTCTCCCTGTGGCTGAAGCTCAGACACTGGAACAGAGCACACTAGAGGCAGTCTGCCTTCCAGTTCCAGCCTCGTAAAGCTTACCTCGGCTCCCAAGCATCCATGCCAAGTTCAGGAAAACCAGAATAATAGGAGTCTAAAACTCACGGTAGACACGGAGATCGTAAGACTTCGTGACAGAGAGCTGGGATGTCTTCAAGTTGACTTTGGCTTGGTAAAGGCCAGAGTCCTTCCAGGTCAGATTGCTGATATGCAGAGAGTAACTGGACTCTGGGATGCCCACTCGACCCCGGTAGCGAGGATCCATCACAGTGATGTTGGCTGGCTGTCCCTCTTCCCCTGGTGCCACTACGGCGAGGTTTTTTTGAGAGAACCAGATGATGTCCTTAACCTCTTCATTGGATGGTATTTCCAGAGAGAGGATGATAGACTCTTGAAGGACTGCAATCACTTCCTCAGGGTCCTCATCATCTCCAGAAAACCCTTTGGCTGAAAAGAGATGTATGTAGCCCAGCTGATATCTCTGGGAGCCCAAGGCTAGTTAGCATGGTAGCTATGGCTCCTCCTCATCAAAGCACCTTCTCTGCTCAGTGTGACTTTTTAGCTACCTCTTGTAGTTCTAGATTTCCATTGTACCCCAAGTTGGTCAGGGAGGGTCCCCATTTATCGCTTCCCCATCCAACGTTTTCCTTCTTCTTTGTCCTTCTGGAACTGCAACCCCATCCAGATCCTTCTCTCTTATCCTGCTCTGAGGCCGTCCTCCATCCCTTGGAGAGCAGAATGGAAGTTCCTCAAAACTATCCTGGGATCCAGCTATATCACTCCTGGGTACATGCTTGGCACAATTCAAGTCAACATACTGCAGTGATATGGGCACATCCACGTCTATTGCAGAGCGAGCTACAATAGCCAAGCTATAGAATCAGCCTCGGTGCCCATCCACAGGAGGGTTGACACATTCTCTCTAAAGAAAGGGTCTTGCTAGCCCAAGACCAGGTAGAACAGAGGCATACCAAGATAGTCTCATGCAGCACTAGGCAACCACTCACCTTCCCGAAGCAGCAGAAGGAGTGACCAGAGAAGGGCCCCCATATCAGCAGCTCCTGCCTGGGAAGAGTGATGTGGTCAGCTCCCCAGGTCGTGGAAACACTAGCTGGTAAGGGGCTCCTAGAAGAGGAATGACTGACTGATATCGATAGGAAGTTGAGAGGGAAATACTTCTCACTTCAACTTCCTCTGTCCACATTAAGCTCCTCCCTGGCCCTCATGGAAAGAAATTTCTCCCCAGCCTAACAGTCAGATGATTTATCCACTGACTCAGATTGCCCATCCCCCAAACTCAGTTCAAATCTCACTTCCTAATAAAGACTTTCTATCTCCAACTCTCTGTATGTCCAGATCCCATAGAAATCAAATATGCACGTACCAGCCTGCTCTCGGCCCTCAGCAAGCTCTCCCCACCACCTTAGTATTTCCTGTGTTGCTATGATCTTTATCTCCCCTGAGAGTCTATATTTCATTTCCTCTGTATGTTTCACTGTTCCTGGCCCCTGTTAAATGCACATTCGTGGCATTAGAATACATAAGTGAGGGAAGTCTTTCCGTTTAAAGCTATTTGTATTCCCATTTGTGATGCTCTTTGGGGGTGAGGGGTTGATCTCTTTTTTTTTTTTTAAGAAACTGTCTTCCATCCACCTTCCTCTTCTGCTCAAGTGTCTGTAAAACAGTCTATGACCACTCAGTGGTGATTCCATCTGATTCGGCAGTGAGAGCTGCAGACAAGTCCCCAGTGGCTGTCTGGACATTCCAGGCTTCACTAAGGAACAGCTGGATGGGCCCAGAGGCCACATGCACACCTGCAGGCGACTGCCACCTCCCATCTAAGAGCAGTGGACTCAGGGGGCAGGTACAGCCCATTCACCCTGACAGTCCTTCTTGGCCACAGCCTTTTTAGCTCACTTGCTCTTCCTTCTCAATCTCTTAGGATCTCGATAGAAACAGGGATCAGGCATGACCAGACGAGCACTGTTGGTGCTCACCAGAAGTGGTACCACACACGTGCAGAACTTCCCAAGTCAGCATCCACTAAATAGGATTCACTGAGTGAGCACCCTCGTTTGTGGCTTGGAATGACAATGCCAGCACTACAGAGGAGATTCTGGGTTACACAGAGCAGTGGTAGGCAGGTTGACACAAGACACTCTTGTGAGAGGCTGGTGGTGTGCTCTGGGATTAGTCACCACCAGAAGGTGTCCTGGAGTCCTCTTAGACCTGGCTAGTGGAAGTCCTAGGAGTGAGGTGCCAGCATCTGGAGTGACTCCAGAGGCGGCAACAACTTCAGCACAGCTGGCTGGCCCAGGGGTTCCTGGAGGAGATGACACTGACATCTGCAGGGTTCTCAATGGCCGTGATGGCTGGAGCTGTCAACAGCAGCTTCTCCCGGGTCCTCCTCACACTTTCGATGTAAACGCCATCACTGTGCCTTTTGCAGATGTGCTGTTCCATCTGGAACTCAAGGTTGGTGCCACCTGAGTGGGTTCCTACTGCAAGGAATTCGAGGACATCCTCCTCTCCACTTGCAGGATCTCAAGGGCTCCAGAGACTGTGTGAGTTCCCCTTTAAATTGTAATGTGAATTGAGAGAAACATCACATAGACCCCTCCCTAGGCAGCAGGGAAAGGCTGATTCTCTTTCAAAATACTGTTTCAGGCCAGACATAATGGAACCCATCTTTTAATACCAACACTCAGAAGGCAGAGGCAGGTGGATTGCTCTGAGTTCCAGGCCACCCTGGTCCACATAGTGAGCTCCAGGTCAGCCGGAGCTACATACTGAGACCCCGTCTCAAAAAGAAAATAACAATAACAGCAACAATAATTTTAAAAAGAGTTTCAGCTAGAGTTGTTAATGTCATAGAAAGATTTAAAATCATTCCATTATCAATGTTGATCAACGATATAGAGAAAATCAGATTTGAGAAGAGATTGTAGAGAATCAAGGTTAAAAAAAAACCATACTCTGGAAAACCCCCACACCACACCACACAGTGGGAGTGGGCAGAACCCAGCCAAGCACGGGTCAGGGCAGTCTAACCCCTGGCCCCCCACCAGACTCCAGAGAAACCCCCACCTCACATCATGCGGCCGATGGCACTGGGTGGCTGGCACTATAATGATCTCTTTCTGATGAGAAAGCACGGCCCAGCACAGCACTAGGGTGACCAGAGTGGGACAGGGAGACATAGGCCTGGGGCTGTCCACTCCAGGCTACAAGAAGAAAACTCGGGCCCACTTGGTACCTCGCTGCACCAGCCAGATGGACACATTAGTGTGAGCAGAGGTATGGTATGGTGGTTTACACGAGAGAGAAAGAGACAGAATGGTTCCTGTGGACAGAGGCAAATTTGAAAAGATGAGAGAGGAAGGGAGTGAGCTGAGCCCCATCCCCACCCATCAACATCTAAGGTGGAGGGAAAGTTGACTCTGAAGTAACAAGAGTGGGAGGGCTGTCCCTACCCCCACAAGCTGCAACTCTCAGGAGAGTGGGCCCTGCATTTCGCCAGGGCAGCACAATTGAGCCAACTCTGTTAACACGGTTGTGAGTGAGCCAGCCCCGAAGTTGTGAGCATGGGAGAGCTCTCTCAACTTCTCATCTGTCTTGTGGTGACATGGGCAGGGGAATGATGCCCTGCTCCTGTGGTCATAAGTGTGGGAGACCCATCCCTGACCCCACCAGCTGCAATACTCCGGAGAGTAGGCCCTGCACCTTGCCAAGGCAGCACAATAGAGCCAACCTTGTTAGAGCAAGTGTGGGTGAGCCAGCCCCGAAATTGTGAGCGTGGGAGAGCTGTCTGGTGGTGGCATGAGCAGAGGAAATTTGCCCTCCTCCACCCTGCCCATCAACATCTTGGGCAGGGGGGAGAGCTGGCTCTGTGGTCATAAGTGTGGGAGAGCCCGACCCTGTTAGTGCAGGTGTGGGTGAGCCAGCCCCAAAGTTGTAAGCATGGGAGAGCTGTCCCCATTCCACATCTGGCAGATGAACCCTACAGCTGCCCAGGCCCAGACCCAAGGATATGACTTGGCCCACCCCATCATCTACCCCATCTATGACCTGCTGGAGCACATGATGGGATCTGACCTGCAGACCCAAAGCTGCAGGATCTCCACAACACAGGGCAACAACAGGATATCCAGGAGTAGCTCTATGATAGCGTAGTAGAAACCAGAGGCCTCGAACCAGACCAGTGGCTCTTTGCAATGGACACTTGCAAGTAAAGCTGTATGGACAAAAGGGGTTTACGGCATGACTCAGAGTGTCGCACTGCAGCTTCCATGATAAGACCTATTTTTTCCCCCTTTTAAATCTTTTTTCCTTGTTTTCTCTTAAACTTTGTTTTATTTGAGGTGTGGGCAGGGGCGAGGGTGGATGCAAAGGGACAGGGAAATGAATAGGATCAAGATACATGATGTAAAAGACACATAGAATAAACAAATAAATTGATTAATTAAAAGAAAAACATACGCTGGAAAAGGAACCCCTCCATGCACTCTTCGTAGTGTGATGGATTGATTAGCTTTACATGTCTACTTGACACAACTTAGAATCACTTGGGGAAAGAGTCTCCATGAGGGATGGTCTACAGTGAGTTGGCCTGTGGGTGTGTCTCTGGAATTGATTGATGTGGGAAGATCCAGCCCACTGTAGGCAGCACTATTCCCTATGCAGGGGCCCTGAGCTGCATAAGAGGTAGGCATAAGCAAAGAAGCAAGCATGCATGTATTCTTTTCTCTCTGTTCTTGTTAATCTGAAGTGACTGACTGTCTCAGGCTCCTAATACTGTGTTCCCTGCTTTGATAGACTGTAACCTGGAATCATGAGCCAAAATAAACAGGTTTCCTCTAAGCTGCTGTTAGGGTATTTTATCACAATAATAGAAATGAAACTATAAGTAGAAATGTAAACTTGTTGGGTTACTATGGAAATCAGTATGAAGGTTCTTTTAAAATACTAAGAACAGAGCTATCACATGATATACCATTGCTGGGTAGTACACTCAAAAGAATCTAAGTCAGCATACTGCAGTGATCCTGCACATTCAAGTTTACTTCGACAGCAGTCACAGTAGCTGTGACGGAATCCACCTAAGTGCCCATCAACAGGTGTGAAGGGATAAAGCTGGTGTGGGATAAGTATACACCACAAGTTTTGTTCATCTATAAGCAATGAAGTTATGTCATTTGTAGGAAAGGAAACGGAACCAGAAGTAATCATGCTGAACAAAACAATCCATGGGTTGTTTCTTTTTTCCTCTCATATGCAGAATCTAGATTTCTGAAAACATGAAAGTGAAAGGAAGACTGCTTAAGAATAGAAAGAGAGACTTGAGTGGGGGTGCGGAGACACAAGAGACAATAACAGAGTGAGTGCAAAGTGAGTGGGGGTGCGGAGACACAAGAGAAATAACAGAGAGTGAGTGCAAAGTGTGTGGGGGTGCGGAGACACAAGAGACAATAACAGAGAGTGAGTGCAAAGTGAGTGGGGGTGCGGAGACACAAGAGACAATAACAGAGTGAGTGCAAAGTGAGTGGGGGTGCGGAGACACAAGAGACAATAACAGAGTGAGTGCAAAGTGAGTGGGGGTGCGGAGACACAAGAGACAATAACAGAGAGTGAGTGCAAAGTGTGTGTGGGTGCGGAGACACAAGAGACAATAACAGAGAGTGAGTGCAAAGTGTGTGGGGGTGCGGAGACACAAGAGACAATAACAGAGTGAGTGCAAAGTGAGTGGGGGTGCGGAGACACAAGAGACAATAACAGAGAGTGAGTGCAAAGTGTGTGGGGGTGCGGAGACACAAGAGACAATAACAGAGAGTGAGTGCAAAGTGTGTGGGGGTGCGGAGACACAAGAGACAATAACAGAGAGTGAGTGCAAAGTGTGTTAGATGCACATATGAAAGCATTACAGGGAAACCTGCTATGCTGTAGAATATATACTGATTAAGAAGTTAAAAAAGAAAAGATTTGGGGCTGGAGAGATGGCTCAGTGGTTAAGAGCACATATTGTTCTTGCGGAGAACCTGAGTTTGAGTCTCAGCACTCACATCAGGCAGTTCACAACTGCCTATAACTCCAGCCTCAAGTGATCTGATACCCCTCTGACCT